TACCCTTTCTTAGTTTGGATAGAGTTTGTCATTACAAGTTCACATATCAATAAGTAGACTCTCGTTATTTTTGATTGCTTCAACCTTTAGGATTAAACTAAGCTACTTGCTTCATGTTGAGGTTATAGTTCTATCAACCAAATGTCCAACGAGGGCTTTTATTTTATTTATTTATTATTTTTTTATTTTTATTTTTTGGTGTCATCTTCGCATTTGCTTTCTATATAACCCATGTAACGAGTTTTAGGCGATGACTCCCAAACCAGTTGGTTTTAGGGCACCGGGTTTTAAACCCTTGCAGTCTTATTCACTCGAGTTATAAAGGCTCGATAAGATGACTTTTTATCAACTCTCCTTTTTTCTTGCTTTCTATATGACCCATGTAACGAGCTTTAGGCCGATGACTCCCAAACCAGTTGGTATTAGGGCATCAGGTTTTAAACCCTTATAGACTTACTTGCTCGAGTCATAAAGGCTTTTTTGAGAGAAGTGATAATTTTCCAGTTTTTACTTTATGCCCCTTCTTTGTTTTTCTAGACATTTGACTTCTAAAACCATCCTCACTTAAAGCTTTCACATATTTCTCACCTTCCGGGTTTAAACAATCCACACATTATAATTTCATGCACAGAGCCCCCACTTATCTCCATGTTTTCCTACAATGGCTCAATCATCTCCAAACTATCTTAAAGTGATATTACGGGTTAATGTTATAGAGGGTTATTCTAGGTTTCTCCTAATTTATTCTAAAATTCCAATCAATAACTTAACACGTGACATGAGTGGCGTGCAAAAGAGTGTCAAGCAATGCATCAACAACTATTAGCAAATTAAATCCTGCACTAAATCCATAGTTTCTAGCTTATACATGTCCAATAATCACATCATAGCCGGCAAGGCTACCAAACCCACACAAACATGCAAACGTTCATAAAGATTCACTCATCAAGTATGCATCATGCAAAAACTTGTCAAAATTAACAATGGAGTGTGAATATGCAAAATAATTACATGCCGAATATTTGTTTGAAATTATGCTACCATCCCCAAACTTATACAATATATTGTCCTCAATGTAAAATGTAAAGTTAAAATGGCAGAATTTAAATCATGGACACAACTTGGCAATAAGAGATTAACAGAACTCCCCTGATCAATTCGGTGGCTGTGGTGTGAAGCTGGGACCCGCAGCATCATCTTCAGGAGGAGGTGGGAGGCGAGATAGGACTTGTCTCAACAGCTCGGACTGCTGTGCTTGCTCGGCCTGAATGGCTTGAAGACTACTTTCCATATTTCCCAAGCGATCCTAAGTCTCGTTCACACGCCACTGTATGCCATCCATTCTCCCAGCGTACATGTTCAACCTACCATTCATAGTCTCTACTTCCCTTCTCGCAGCTGTGGCTTCATTCAAAGCACCTCTTGTGTAGTCTCGGGAGGAGTAGAGGTCTCTCTGCACTTTTTCAACAGTGGTGGTCATTGTCTCGAACCTCTGCTAGAGGTTTTGTATGTCTCTGCTAGTTCTAGTGGCTGTGGCAAATATCTGTCGAAGTAGCTGCGAATTCATCACAACTGGTTGTGGCGGGGCTTGTGGTAAGTGTAAATCTTCAGCAGCTTGTCCTTCTTCCTTCGCATTTTGTCTTTGCTGCTCAAGTCTTTCTTGTTCTCTCTTCCTTACCCTAGCTCGTTCCTGAGCATCAAATGTGGTGAGCTTTATCAATGGGCTTGATTTCTCAGGCGTCTCCCCTGCCTCAACTGTAACACCAGCAGCAAGACATATCCCGCTAATCGGACTAGGGAAAATCATCGAAGATCGCCTATCTCCCCAGGTTCCCAAATTTTGTATCGGGTCAAAAATAAGAGTAGCCAAATCAACTTTGCATCCCCGGACTAAATGATATATGAACCCAGCAGTTTGATCCGTGAAAGTTGTCCGATGCGATGTGAGTTCGATGTTATGGCTCTCTGACTGAAATAAATAATCCGCCCCTTGGGTTAAGAACTTTCGCCACGGGCCTTTAACCCTTCCGTGAATGAAAGTCGGTATCAAAGACCTCTCATAATCAATTCTAGAACACAGCCAAGGCCCCTCTGTGAACTATATGTACACGATCAAGACCAATGTTAGGTCAAGACCCTTCGTGTACGATAGAACACGGCCAAGGCCCCTCTGTGAACTAGAAGAAATATATAATCACGGGTACTTTTCTGGTCGATCTCAAAATCATATCTCATATTTCAATTCACAATGTACCGTATACAATCTTTAAAATTCACATGTATCATAATAAAAGATATTTCCATAATATCCATGTAATTCGAACACATAATTGCATATAATTGCATATACTTTAAAAATATACTTAATTTATAAATACTTTAAAAATATTTATATTTTTCCACTCACAGTACAATGTTCGTAAAATCAACCTGATTGGTAAGCTGTTCTAATGTTAGTATTGTCGCCTGAAATACGATAAAATTTTTAAATAAAAAATTAATTATTTTAAATAATTTCAATAATTAAATAGGCGACACTCAAACTTAATCATTTCACGTTTAAGCAATTTCTAAAGTCTCTTTAATCACTAAAACTAGTTTTTCTTTCATCTTATTCAATTTCGTGGTTTATTATACTTAACCCCTTCAATAAAATTGAATTTAATTTAATAATCTAACAACTATAAAATCAAACATAACTTGACAATAAGTAACTTTTTACTTTTCAAAATTGAGGAATTCAAGCCTAATAATATAGACCACTTAATTCCTAACACGTTGGCAAAAAATTTCTATATATATATTTTTTTCTTCTTCTTCCCTTTTTTTTTTTTCCTTTCTCTTTTCTCTTTCTCTTTCTCTTTTTTCCTCTTTCTCTCTCTCCATTTTCGTTATCTGTTTCTGTATTAGAAAATGGGTTTTGATTTGTTTTAATGTGAATTAGATTGATATATAATCCAATTCACCGCCTCACCGTTTTGAAATTTTTTTTTTATATAAAAGTATGACATATTTGACTTTTCAAATTTTTTTTTTTAACTAAATTAAGGTATTACATCTAGAGACCAGGGTGAATACCTCATTGTAGTCTTCTCCTTTTCTTTGCACATACCCCTTTGCTACAAGCCGAGCTTTGTGTTTGTTGACTGAATTGTCTGGATTCAATTTAGTTTTGAACACCCACTTTACTCCTACAGGCCTCTTGTCTGGTGGCAGATTTGTGAGCTTCCAAGTGTTGTTCTTTTCAATGGCATCAATTTCTTCCTTCATGGCATTTCTCCATTTTTCTTCTTTGATTGCTGCTTCATATAAAATTGGATCCTCACCTGAAAAAATGCAAACAAAACAATACCTTCTTCATGAGTAGGTTCGTAGACTAATAGATTTCTTGCAATCTTCTCATTTTTGTTCTTGGTGGCTCTTCATCAGATTCTTCTCTTCTAGAAGAACTTGGAGTTGAAAGGAATCCACAACTTAATGAATTGTCACAGTTTTCATTTGAGGTATTATCTCCTTCTTGAAAAATTATTGACTGCTCTCATTACCTTCAAGGGTTGCATTTTCATTGAACTTTACATCCTAACTTATCACAATTTTCTTCATCAATGGATTGTATAATTTACAACCCTTAGACCTTTCACTATATCCAACAAAAATGCATTTCAGAGCTTTATCATCCAATTTATTCCTTATAGCATCCGGTATATGGGCAAAAGAAAGACTACCGAAGATCTTTAGGTGTGAAACTTTTGGTTTAGAACCATACTAGGCTTCATGTGGAGTCGTGCTATTCAAATTTTTTGAGGTGACCTGTTGATCAAATATACTGCACAAGCAACTGCCTCTGCCTAACGTTATCGTGGTAGTTGCTCTCTTTTAAACATGTATCTTCCCATTTCCATAATGGTTCGATTTTTTCTTTCACAAACTCCATTCTGCTGTGGCGAATATCGTATAGTCAGTTCATGTCTTATTCCAAGATTTTTGCACAATTTTTCAAAGTCCCTTGAAAGATACTCAGTCCCACGATCAGTTCTTAATGTCTTAATAGAAAATCCAGAAAAGTTCTCAACTTCAACTTTAAAATCTTTGAAAGCATGAAAGCAATCAGATTTTTCTTTAAGAAAATATGTCCAAACTTTTCTGCTAAAGTCAACAATGAAAGAGATAAAATATCTGCTACATCCAAGAGATAAAATTGGAAAGTCTGAATGGATAAGTTGTAGTGGTTGTCTGGCTCTCTAAGATGACTTGTGTGGAAATGAACTTCTATGTTGCTTTCCAAGTTGGTAGGCCTCACAAACTTCATTCAGTTGTTCAATCTGAGGAAGGCCATCCACCATTTTCCTTTCTGATAACAACTTCAAGGCTCCATAATTTAAAAGCCCATACCAATCATGCCATAGTTTCGAAATTTCTCCATTTGTGCTAGTGAAATGAGAAGCAACATTAGTAACTTTTAGCTGAATAGGAAACATATTATTTGATGCCAATGGGATCTTTGTGAAAATCAAATTTTCTCTGGTAAAAATTCACAACTTATCATGTAAATTGATCTCAAAACCCTTTCTTAAAAGGTGGTATACACTTAATAGATTGCTTCGCAAACCAAGAACATAATAAACATCAGACATCTTTTCAAGCTTTCTCATCTTAGCTTCAATCGTTATATCTCCAATCCCTTTAATTGCAAAAGCTCTAGCATAACCAACTTTGACTTGCCCTAATTTTGATTCCACCAGCTTAGAAAACAAGTTTTTGTTTCCAGTCATATGCTTACTAGCACTACTATCCAGATACCAAACATCATCATTTTACATTTTTTCATATGACAGTCATTTTTATGAAGGAAACTAGCTTCTGTTTTATCATCGTTTTTCTTGTTCCAGCACTCATTGCTTTTATGGCCAAGTTTGTGGCAATGATAGCATTCAACTTATTGTTTTCCCTTATACCAGCAATCACTACTTTTATGATTAGTTTTATGATAGTAATAGCATTCAGGAATTCTTTTCTACCTCTTTGATGATATCCTCGGCCTCGACCTCTTCGAAAATTGCTGTGTGATCATCCTTTACTTCTTCTTTGAACTCTCCACCACTTTGAAATCCTCTTCCTCTTCCACGAGAATGGTGGCCTCTCCCTCGAGCTCCAGATCGTCCTCTTCCTCTAAAGGTATTGGAATTAAAGCCTCCCAAAATTTGAGATTTGAGTGTTTGATCAGGGAGTGATGGATTCCTGTGCTTTACTCGCAGTTCATGAGATTTTAACGATGCAAGTAAATCATCTAATGAAAGTGTTTCCAAGTCTTTGAATTCCTTAATTGTGGCAGCAATGAAATCAAACCTTGATGGTCGACTTCGAAGAACTTTTTCAACAACTTTCTGATCTTCTAAACATTCGCCATTGAATGCCTTCGATTTATAATTGTAGTAACCCTTGTGAAGTAATCAGAAATACTTTCTTCTTCTTTCATTTCCAATTTCTCAAAGTCTAATCTCAAGGACTGTAAGCATACCCTTTTTTTACTCTCTCTTCTCCAAGGTGTGCTGTCTGCAAAATTTTCCAAGCTTGCTTTGAAGTTTCAGCTTTTGCAATTCGTTCAAACACCGATCTTTCAATTGCCTGGTAAATGTGGAAAAGGGCTTTACTTTCTTTTTCTTGCTTTTCATTCAAAGCATTTCTTTGTGCTTGAGTCATTCCATCTTTAGTCTCCGGATCTTCAAAACCTTCATCAACAATATTCCAAAGCTTCATAGATTTTAGCAAAACTTTCATATTGTGACTCCAATAGTAATAATCTTCCCCCATTGAAACGAGGAATAAGAGACACCAGAGTACTTGGATTTGCCATGATTTTCTATTCCAGGTTATGTTACTACAATTTTATTCTTAGAATAATTTTTGTAATGGTCAAATGCTTTGATAAAAGTTTGAAGGCAAGAAAAATTGGGAATTATATTACCAGAAATACTCAATCTTATTGCCTTAAAAGTTACTACAGATTACATTCCAATGTATACATACTAGAGGACTAAGGGGATTGCATCAGAATAAATGTGACTATTACATATCCAAGAAGACTCCTTAAATTACTAAATCAATTGTTGGAATACTAGTAGACACTTGATTAAAAATAAAGTTCAATAAATGATTGTCAATTCATCAATGATCATTAATTTGGTTTATTTTCCAACAATTTCAGTATATTACGTATCCTCACTCTTTGCCAAGACGTGGGCCAGCACAAATTGGGCAGATGATGTTATCCAGTACCTCTTTCATTGCTAAATTCTCAGAGCACATTCTTTCATTTTCAGATCAAAGGGTGCCATTGTTTGCTCTATACTTGATGTTAATGGAGACATAAATATATTTGTATAAATCAACTATACATAGATATGGTACCTTCATTTGAGTTCTTTTATTTTGAAACCAAGACTTTTTCTAATTGGGATCAAGCACTAGTTCCCTGCTCAATTGGACCCTCTGATTCTCATCTAGTTTTGGGCATTCCTTAGAGAACCTGCATAATTTTCATCAATCAGGAGAAAAATATCCATTCTGTACTTCCACCAGTGTTTACAACCAAAGGCTTTGTATGCATTACTTAATCTTATGCATCCTAGTCCCCCTTCTTATGGTTGAGAGCAAATATTTCCCGAGATTCCAAAATGTAATTGTTTAGTCTGTTCAAAGTCACCCCAGATATAATCATTAAAAATCCTTTCAATTTTCCTAATAACATGTTGGAGGAATGAGAACTTGAAGTTGATGCATAGGCATTGATTGAGAAGGGTTGATAGGGACCACCCTTTTTCCTAGTATCATAGGTGACCGAACGGTCACCCCACCTCGATAGGGCGGTGCTCTAACTAATTGAACTATACTTCCAGGGAGGGATCTAGCTGCGAAAGCACAAGCTACGGATGAACCCATTGAAGTGCTTTTTAGGTCTTTCATCTGTATCAGAGCCATCATTTGCTCATGCTTGATCCTAAAGCAAATGGCCTCTTCAAACACCACCACTCCCATTGTTTTCAAGGCACCAAACATCTTTCAACTCATTTCGGTGAAAATGGATGGTGGAAACTATTTGAATTGGACCTCTAAGCGTGTTCTTGCATTGAGAAGTCATGATCTCCTGGAATTCATGGATGGATCTGAATCGTGCCCAAAGAAATACTTACTTGATGATCAGAACAAGCCAACAATGGAAATCTATTCCACCTTCTTGCTTTGGTACAAGAAGGATCAGTTTGTTCTTAGAGTTCTCAACTCCACACTTACACACCAAGTTTTACCATCTGTGTATGGCTTAAACTCTACTAAGCAAGTTTGGACATCCTTAGCCAACAAATATGTGTCTCAAGCATATTCCAGAGTTAGCACCCTTAAACGACAACTGTAGAGTTTACACCAAGGAGGGAAGAATTGCACTAAGTTCTTGAATAATGCAAAGAAATGTGTAGACCATCTTGCTGCCATCGAAAAGCCTTTAGATGAGGAGGATCTAATCTCTTATATTATAAGAGGTCTAAATCCGTCCTTCAACCCTTTTATTGCCTTTTGTTTGTTTGCTCTACAAAAAAATACAATAAGTTTTGATGAGTTTCTATCTGAGTTACTATCATATGAGGCTCTTCTTCTGTCATGGAGAACCGAATTTTTCAATGCTTGCTACGTCCAAAAACCATTCTCATAGTTGTTCAAGGAAGCCAAAGAATTACAACTTTTCTCCTAATTGCAAGTAATTTTAGCATGACAATCGGCACGTCAAACTAAAAAATTTTACCTCTTCGATGCAACCATCGTATCTTAATAATGACTCTTCTAAACGTAATTTTTCAACTACTGTACGCATACCATACCAGATTTGTGGAAAAACAAACCATGAAGCTCTTGATTGTTTCCATAGGATGGATTATAATTATCAAGGACGACATCTGTCTTCACAACTTGCTACTATGTTAGCTCACAGCAATGGACTTCATGAAGACAACAATTGGTATGCCGACAGTGGAGCAAATCAGCATATTACAAATGATGTGGCAACTCTTACTCTTCAGGAGAAATATGGCAGGAATGAATCAGTGGCTGTGGGTAATGGTAATGGCCTTAAAATTCCAAATACGAGTTCTTTCTCCCTAAACACTCCACAATCAACGTTTCACTTCAACAAAGTTTTACACTGTCCTGGTGCCATGACCAATCTCTTATCCATTAGTCAGTTTTGTATTGATAAGGACTGTTATTTCATTCTAATGGATTCGTGTTATTTTGTCAAGAACAACAAATCACAAAAAAACTCTTCTGGAGGGATCGAGAAAAAGCAGTCTCTATCACTGTCTCAATAAACACACGATAAATCAATGTCGTGCACAAATAGCCCTTTTTGGCGTCAAAACTTCCTTAGATGTATGGCATGCAAGACTAGGTCATCCTTCAGATAAAATCACAAAAGCGAATCATTGCTTCTTTCAAGCTTCCTCTTCATGGATTAGCCTCTCAAGATTTCTTGTGTCCAGCCTGTCAGTTAGGAAAAGCAAGAAAACTTCCTTTCATTTATTCAAATAGGGTTTCTTTAGGTCCATTAGAAATTATTCAATCATATGTATGGGTATCCCTTAATCTTGAGATGGATATCTCTATTATGTAATTTTTATTTACGACCACTCTGGATTTACACGGTTGTACCCTATTTCTCTTAAATAAGAGGTTTTTTCTTGTTTTGTCAAATTCAAATTATTAGCTGAAAATTTATTTTTGTGCAAGATTAAACAATTCCAAACTGATAAAGGCGATCAATATATCTTAAACAAATTTGTCTCTTTTCTCAACTTTAATGGTATTTACCACCGTTTGACTTGCCACTATACATCCCAACAAAATGGGATTGCTAAGTGTAAACACCGTCATATCATGGCAATTGGACTTCCTCTTTTAGCTCAATCCAACCTTTCTTCTTGTTTCTGAGTATATTCATTTTCTACTACAGTTCACTTAATCAACTTCATGATTGCCCCTTTACTAAATTTCGAGCCTCCTTATAGAAAATTATTCAACAGAACCCCTTACTATTCCCACCTTAGGACCTTTGGGTGTGCTTGCTATCCTTTACTAAGGCCATATACAACTTGTAAACTTGCCTTTAGAAGCAAACAATGTATTTTCGGGGGATATTCTTCTAATCATAAAGGATATCGTTGTCTAGACCCAATCTCTAAAAAGGTCCTCTTGTCACGACATGTGGTGTTTGATGAACACTTGCTCCCTATACAGAGAAAGTTGGATGCCTCTCTTCCTTCTAGCTCATTCTCATGCAATCCAATTTATCTATCAACAAATCCTCTTTCCTATTCATCTTGCATCTCTCCAGTAAATTCCTTACAGGCCATAGCATCATCCTCTACTTCCCTTTCCAATCCATATGTCACAACATGTCCTTCTTCATCAAAAGACAACCACTCGTTAATTCATTCTCAACCTTCTTTATCAACTCCCCAAAATACGGTACCACCACCTGATTTCTTACCCAATCAAAACTCTCTCCCAAATCACTCATCTTATTCAATTTTTAATCTGGATCATACTTCTCCACTGAATGTCACTGAAAACCTCTCAGATATTCCATCTTCTACACGTATGCCATCCAAAATTAATTTAACCCCACCTTCTCAAAATGAGCTATATACGACACGTATGATTACACATTCACAAAATGGTTCTCTTCGTCCCAGAACATTTCCTAATATATATCCTTCTACTCCACCAAATATCCTCTTGTTGCTCTCACTACAACATCTTCATTCATTGAACCTAAAACTTTTTCCGGAACTGTGATTTCTGAAGATTGGAGGATTGCCATGGACCAAGAATATGCTGTATTATTGAAAAATAAAACTTGGGACCCCTTGTCCTCGTCCTATTGATCAAAACATAATTAAGACTAAGTGGGTATATGAAATCAAACAGAAAGCGGATGGAACTACAGATCATCGAAAAGCAAGGTTAGCTACTAAAGCCTATGAGCAAATATAAGGCATTGATTTCTCTGAAACATTTAGTCCTATTATTAAACCTGCTACTATGAGACTAGTCTTAGCAATTGTTGTCCACTTTAATTGGAACATTCATCAAATAGATGTTTCCAATGCCTTTTTACATGGTACTATTGATGAGAAAGTCTACACTGAACAACCTCGAGGTTATGTTGATCCTAATTATTATACTACGTCTACAAGCTCAACAAAAAGATGATTTAGAAACATGATCTTGTTTCTTACACTTCCAAGAGACCAATACTTCACCTGAAAACATACATCAACCCGTAGTAGAATGATGCGTATCCGGACACCCAATCCAATCAGCAACACTGTAGGCCAATAGCTGGAGAGAAGACCCTCCAGGAAAAAATAGCCCACGAGTGGACGATCCACGAATATAGCAAATATTATGGCGAATAGCCGCAAGATGAAAATGTCGAGGTGAAGACATAAACTGGCTGACTTGATGGACAGCATAAGAAATATTTCGACAATTGGTGGTCAGATAGATAAGACTCCCAACGAGACGACGATATAGGGTAGGACCCTCTAGAAGATCCTCTTCATCTTTCCTGTACCTAACATTGACTTTCGTAGGGGTATTGACAGAAGAAGAATCCCCAATCCAGCTAACACAATAAGATCTTGAACATACTTATGCTGATTTAAGAAAATGCCTTGATCCTGATGATGAACTTCTAGGCCCAAGAAGTAAGTAAGCTGACCGGGATCTTTCATGTGAAAAGTGGCATGTAATAATTGTTG